CGAGAAGCCGAGAATGAAAGCAAGGTGGTGGCTGTGTGCTGTGAATGAAGACGGGGCGTCGTGATGACAGACGGGTTTGCAAGTCAAATGGCAGAGCTTGAACCTCCAGTTTTAATGTGCATGCACTCTTTTGGTTATGCAAATGTTAAATCTGAAAGCCCCGCGGCTGCATTCAAGCTTTTAGACCGAAGCTATGGAAACACTTAGATAGTGAGAGGAGTGCTGCATTGAAGTTATGCTGGATGTAGTAATAAAATACAATAGCATTGAGTGCAATGAGTGTGGAGTATTGGAAGAAAGTAGGATGTCTGACAAACAGAGTTCAGCTTTAGGTCTTGGTTATAGTGGTAACCCCAGAGAATTTGTGGAAACCATTTGGCAACGCCACAGAATATTTAATTTAGTCTGAATGAAAGCAAAAGATCTGCCCTGAGACATTATATAATGGTAGTAAAACTAGATGAAAGCAGTGTGCTCTTGAGGGAGTTCATCTGAGGTCATGCTAACAGGCGCCTCAGACTCCAGCTCATAACCGAAGCATCGCCGTGTTTGTGTTAAAGAGAGAGTGTGTGTGTGTGTGTGTGTGTGTGTGTGTGTGTGTGTGTGTGTGTGTGTGTGTGTGTGTGAGAGAGAGAGTGTGTGTGAATGACTACTGGAGGCCAAAAATACGAGACCCGTCTCTCCAAGGTGCCATCATTCTGCTCACGTCAGTCCCGGCACTCTTACGTCCCGGTGCTCAGGTCCCCTGTGGGCAGTGACCCGTGACCCTGCCCCCCCCTCTCCCTTCACCCCTCCTCCTGGCCCTTACAGCCCTGTCGGGCCTATCAGACGGATATGCGCCCTGCAGGGATCAGAGAACCTGGGATACGGGGGAAAGCTATTCATGGCCGCCGAAAATTCCTCTGGTGAAGCTGTTCTGCGCCTGTTGAGTGGAAAAGAAGAGTATGATGGCTGACTTGCACTTTCATCACACAGAAGTGAAAGCAGCGGAACGGAACAAAGACGTGTATGTTATTTAAACCTCGTTTAGTTCAATTTAGCGATGGCAGAAATGGATCCGGGAGCACGTCTAGTGGTCCTGCTGACTCCTGGAGCCCGAATCCAGGGTCAAGGTGGGGCGCTCAGACCTGGAGTCAGGCCAACCAGGCGGGAAGAGGCCAGCGGAGCCGGATGCCAGGAAGCGAGGGCTGCGAAGGCATCACTGACTATTCTTGACATCTCCCTCCCACCAAAGCACTTAACATACAGAATAAGGCAACACACAAACAAACAAACGGATACGCACCATTCACATAAACACGCTGACGCCGAGGGATGCTTGGAAAGCTAAAGAACACGAGCGGGAGGAGAGCATCACTCAGAGAGCCATTAACCCTTGGCTCCCACCCAGAACAGTGAGCGCACGTTAAACATAGCTGGTCTACGCACGCGGGCTAAAGCAATCTTTGGGTCCTTTGGACTGTAGGTCCATAAAAAGACTGCGTTACGTTCAATGAAGACTTGTGGGAAGTTTCCTGGAGGGGAAGAAAACATCTGCGTTTATAAAAAAAATACAGGTCGGAGAGAAACCTTTGCATCGCTATTTGTCCCCTCCGCTGTTCACAGGTTGTGGGCTTCGGTGAAAGTGCTGCGAGGACTACTTCCTCCTGCAGAGGAGTGGAACCCCAGGAGAACAGCGCCAGACTAAACAATCTCCCTCAGCTGCTCCCCTTCACCCCACCGACAGGAGATGGATGCTCGACAAGCGCTCCCAACAGAAAACCTCACTTTTTCCAACAATTACAGAGAGCGATGGGGGAGGAGGCAAAACTTCATAATATTGTACACACTGGCATTTGGCGAAGCACATTGAGCAACCTCTGTCAGAAAGAGATGGGCTAATTTCAGGGCGACCCGTGCCAACACAAACAACTGTTCTGGCGAGCTTTCATTGTCAGCACTTGAGGTTCGAGTCAAAATTTTCAACGCTCCGCAGCCAATTTCTCTTTCCCCTCTCTTTTTTTTTCTCCCCCCTCCATATGATTTGTCCTTGTCCAAGATCCCAGCCAGTCTTTCATCGCCTACGCAGTCAGACCTTTAAAAGTATTCTTGGGGAGCACAAACTCAGACCCAGATGCTGATCTACACACACACACTAACTGAAATAGGACGTGACCTTTTCTTTCAGGCCGTCAGCATGTGTTCTATGTGAGCTAATGCACAGAAGTGTACTTATTTGGTCTATAACGCACGCCCGACTGAATTGGCGCGGCACACCTTTGATGTATTCAAGTGTTTCCATTTGGCCTGCGTCCGTCAGCGGGCGCAGCGTGCACGCGAGATAAAACAGCTCACGCTGGAGTCTGCCGTGTGCTGGGAATTATGTCACAGCCATGTCAACGTAAACATCATCATCGTGGGTTTCCGTTTGCGTCTCCAAAGCAGTATTTACTTCACTTTGATTTTTGTTTATTAGGGTTTTTTGTTTTTTTACTCTTCTACATGAAAGAGTCGTGTCGCTTCCTTTGGCGTTTACAGGCTGTAATATTACATTCGTAGTCTACTCGTGGTTCTGATGGCAGTCAATGAGATGGACGGCACTTTAGAAACCGCACACAGTAAGGGCTCTATCCTCGGGGGCGAATCCCATGCGCGTCAGGGGAGGAGCTCCGGGTCGCCAATGCGTGTGCGAAGTGGGGTTGCTGTGCTGAGGTGGAAGCTGAATGGACACTTTGGGAGGCCCCTGTAGCCTGAACATGCAGCCTTTTCTCTGCTCCACTATTGAGGCAGCTGTCTTTAATATAAGTGCTCAGCTCAGCCCATATTTATTCAGGTACAGCTGACAGAGAGAGAGACACAGCGAAAGAGGCGTGGACCATCTTTTTCCTGGCAGCGGTGCAGCACTCCTGCGGTTTTTTGGGGGGCAAAGGGACAAGGCGAAAGAGACACAGACACTGTGACAGAGGGAAAGGAGCGGCGTGAAAGACATTTCGAAATTTTAAAGAAAGAAAAAAAGAAAAGAAAAGCAAAAACGTGGCTCCGGTGAGTCCCGTGTTGACTGGACATCCTGTGCAACAGACCAGACCCCGGGGCCCCAGGGGCCCCAGGGCCGCCGGGGAGGGGCTGTGTGAGCTCAATCCTCCCGCCTCTCTCGATGCCTGCGTCCAAGACAAATCACCGCCGTTGCTGCTGTCACCGAAAGGCCTTGACCAAGACAAACAGCTGTGTTTTAAAATAAGGACCTGCCTCCCTTCGCAGCCCCTTTCACCTCATCCACATGAGGCACATCCATATCTCCCCGCACAATCAAGCATATTCCCTTCACAGGTCATAGGACTGGAGCCGCAGTCCAAGGCTCCACGCTGGGGACTCACTTTTCACCCTCTCAACGCCGTCTGCATTCTCTCCACGGCACGCGCCCGCGCACACAGACACACACACAAAGTTCTACCACATCACACAAGTTTTATTGTTTCCAAAATGCCAGGACTGCAGTAACAGGGGTGAGAGGGAGTGCGTACGACACAAGATGTATAGCGGTTTGAAAGGACATCGTCTGCATGCATGCATGTGCGTGTGTGTGTGTGTGTGTGTGTGTGTGTCTGTGTGCGTGCGTGCGCACGAGCTTGATCGTTTATGTACATCTGAGCTCGCATGCACTAAACCGCAAACTTAGCTGAATCACAAACTGCACACAAGTGTCAGCACAATTCCTTGCTTTTACTTAACGGCACATTGCATCTTGGGAGTTGTGGTTTGTCCGAATGGGCCCGACTGTGTCACTGGCCGCGCGCCGCCCGCACCAGTGGGACTGGCGTTCCTTGCTGAACTCGACCTCATTTATCTCCGTGGCAGAGCCCTTTCCCTCCAGCGCCGTCCCTCCTGGACCCCTGAACTGCTGACACCAGCCCCCCCCTCATCCCCCTCACCCTCCTCACCCTCCCTCCCTCCCTCTTCTGAGCCCCGGCATGCGGCAAAAATTGTGAGATGTGTTTCATCTGCATATTGATTAGCCTGGCCAAAAGAAGAAAGACCTCAGCACTTCACTGAATGCATAATGTAAATAAGTCTCAGTTATTCGCCCACAAACCGTTAAGGCCAAACCTTTTCCTTAAGTACGGGATTTTCCAGGTAATTAGGTAGGTGTGATTGTGCAACTAAAAGGCAGCTTTTTTTTCTTAAGAATAAAAACTAATCGAGAAAATTCAAAACAATTCTGCACATCTCGGCCAAATGAAGGTTAATGTCAGGCTGGAGCAGGGCTGAAAAGTCAAACTTGCCGCCGCCCCCCCCCCCCCCGCCCTCCCCAAAAAAAAGAACACGACCCCGCTTTGCTCCCATCAGCGGCGGCAGCGGGCCGCTTTCGGTGTGCAGGCGGGCCGGAGTGCCAGCCGGCTGCAGTGCAGAAGGCTGTCTGATGGATAGCTTGCATTCGGCGAGGACTGGACCTATGGCGTCGTGGATTGATTAGCCTGAAGGGGCCGTCGGGGGGGAGAAGCACTTCCTGTGTGTGTTAATGGACACTGCTACAGAGAGGCGCTGTGGTGGCTTGTGGCGGGGTGATGGTTGTTACTCCTCCTCATTCGCTTTCACTCTCCCCGCTAATGAGAGGGGAGTCAAGTGAGACGCCGATGGGGGTTCCTACCAGACGGCTCTCTAGCGGCTCTCTAACCAGACACCAAAGACCGTAACAATAAACTACTACTATTCGGAGAAGTCAATTCTGAGTGTAATCAGCCCCTAGACAAAAAAAGTGGTGGGTTTCTTCATTCAGAATATTAAGACAATGTTCAGTTGGCATATTTTTAAATAATTAATTACAATAAACTGCATTTATAATTATGTGCATGGCAGTCACCTGGACCTTTGCTAGATATTTATTTGGGTTTAAAAGCATTAACTTTTGAGGGAAATTGTGGACCCATTGTTCATTCAACTTGTCAACCCTGCTCACCTAAAAGGTAAAAGTAAGACTCATAATAAGCCCGTCTGGCTGTGTAAGTGTGTAAATAAGTCTGTACCCGAGTCTGCTCAGCAGCTCCAGCTCCGGTACTGGGGGTCCGTACGTCTCAACATGGACAGGCTTGTACTGGTACAGAACTTCTTCTATCCTGGGAGGAGGCTGAAGAGACACCGTCTGGCGCTGAAAAACAATTAAACAAAAGGACAATGTCTTCATTGTTTTGGGTTAAATATGCAAACCACAGATCACACACAAATCATCCCTGAAAAGGTTTACATCCATAAAAACCGCAGCGTTAACAAGCACCAGCGCTTGACTAACTGGTTTGACAATAGCTTGTACTGCTGGGACAATGACTCGGTACCTCTTGAGTTGTCAACTGCTCCACAATCAGAATCTGATCACGACATCATGCAGGAGATCCGCCACGCGCCTGATGTGGAGATGTAACTCCTGATTACAGTTTACTTTCAATCAAAAATGGATGATAAATCCCCCCAATTGCCAAATCCAATCAACAAGGTACTGTAGAAATGTAGTAGAAAGATATTACGTAATACAACTTAAATTAAGTAGAGGAAGTGTGTAGAAGGTCCAAGGATCATTTGCTACTTGCATTGTGGCTCTAACGTGGGTGAATATGAATGTTACTGGCAAATAATCAGGATTATCCAACATAATTCAACTAAAGAAATGCGGCTGCTGTGTCTCTGCAGTCTTCCAACCTCTGCTCAGAAAGCTGTAGTTTGTTTTGTAGAAACCTCTTCAAATCGTCAGTACTCAAGAGTTGAGATTCAGTCAGGCTACTCCAGTTCCTAATGCTCTTGACCGTGGTGATGGAGCGAGAAACGTGATCCTTCTTGAAGACACAGCAGAATTGTTCGATTTGGGCCTCTGCCATCAAAGGGGGATTTCCACACAGCGTCACGCCACTTTGTTTTCTTCAACATGGAAGTAGTGACAAGATGAACCAGACTCATTGAAAAAGCCTGGAATTAAAAAAGATGATTTCTAAACAAACATTGACTGTTTTAGGGACCAGCGAAGGAACTCAAGAGACAAAAGGAGAGATAAAAAGATAAGAGAAAGCAAAGAAAAGAGCAGAGGGGGAGTGTAAACAACAGAACACAGAGGGGAGCTGATGAAAACCAAACTAAACGAATAACATGTGCCCCGTGGCCTCAGACTGCCCGCCTTCACACATGCTTTGCCCCATGCGAGCGCGAGAAAACACACACACACACACACACACACACACACACACACACACACACACACACACACACACACACACACACACACACACACACACACACACACACACACACACACACACACACACACACACACACACACACAGAAATGAGGCAACCAAAGCTGAGCTACAACTTTGTGCAAAAGCACTAAGTGATGAACACTGAGACTGCAATGCAGAGTCGGAGCCAAAGACAACATGGTGGTAATTGTATTAACCAGCAGAGTATGCAGGATATTTAGGATATGAAAATAAACACAATTGGACAATATAAATTGTCTGGCTCCGTTTCAACAGAATTACCACTTTTTATATTTCTCTGATCGCATGAGCCAATGAAGGCAATGTTGCGAATCAACGAGGAGGACAGGAAGGCAGTACAGTACCACCGTCCCATCAACGCTGATGGGTTAACACTTTGAGCACCTTAAACCATCCGGGTCTCATTTCAATAGGTTACCAAGCCTGGTGTCTTTTCCATTTAATCTTATTTTGAACATGCATTTGCCATCTTCTAGTATGTCCAATTATGATCCACTCCCTTTTTAAAATGGAAATTCTTTTTGTAATTATGCATTTATTATCTTATGTGTGTTTTTTTTCTTATTTTTATCCACTCAATATGAACTACCTTTTCTGTTATTTATTCATATTTTACAATACATTATATTTCAGTATTGAAGTCAAGTATTTTATATATGTATATATATATAAAAAAAGACACTCCTTTCTTGGTATCTTCAGGAAATGTACCGTACTATGATACAGATCACAATAGTAAAGGATTATTATCTATATATTCCAATCCTATTTCCAAGAATGGTTTTGAACTTCAACAGAACAAGCCTGAACCTGTTGCATTTAACAGAAGGTAAGTCAGGCAGGAATAAGCAGCATAACCTTTAGAGCTGGAGGGGCATTTTTACAGGCAGAAATTGTGAGAGAACATCATTGAAGCCGTATGTAGATTTACCTTAAAACTACTATTTCTGACTAACTATAACAATAAGAATACTATTTTCCATGATTGGTTGATTTATTTGTATATATACACACATCAAACTGGTCACTTACTGAATACAAAACACAAAGCAAAATCAAATAATCGACCAATGATTAGATCCATATTGCCCGTTTTATACACTATTCAAATGCCTCAGATTGTTTGAGTTTTACTTTAGAACAAATTCTAGACCCAGTTCTCTATAGTTTTCATTCAACCTTTGACCCCAAGGTGCCAGTGATCCCGTCCTGTCCCATGTATCCAACACGGTGGAGCTCCACCGCCGGCTAATGAAACCCAGACCACCCAACCCAAACCTGCTCGCTCTCCCTCGCTTGTGCCGTCCTTCACTCCCTCCATCATCCATCCATCCTGTTTTATTTCACACTCCTCTACTGCACCAGTCAGAGGGACTGGGATGCCGAGGCGAAGAGAGGGGGGGGGGGGCACGAGAATAAAAGTTTACAACGTTAAAGCGGGAGAGCGACACATTGGGAGCTGCAGATTGCTAAGGAGCAATAAATCAAGACTTTTGAGCGACGGACAGAACTGAGCCAACCCCCACCGGAGAAATCTCTGTTGCATTCCTCTGCAAGGGCACCTTGAAAACTGACAGACACATCATCAGGAACATACAGAGCCTAAGACATGCATACACAAGGACAGGCTTTGCTCTCCTGAACGCACTTAACCCACCACAAAAAGGAGTGAAAGAACAGATTGTCGGTGCTCTTGGGTAAGCTGCTTTGATGCGGTCCATCTAAATCAGAGCGGCCTCAGACATGCTTCATCCTCACTCAACCTCATGAAACTCATCGGGTCCTATTAAAAGCCCGTGAGAAGTGCAGCATGTGAATATTGTTTTCCAAATGCTCCGGTGAAAGAACACAACAGAGGGGGGGGGAACACACCCCTGACCAGGCCCGGCAGAGCAGAGAGGGCTAAGGGACGAGGGCCCCTGCAACATCACCGACGAAAGAGCCAACACAAACATCTGCTCTTCACATCACTGAGGCCTACCTTACTACCTTAGAACCTCATGTGAGCCTTCATCGTGCTCTCGGGTTTGTGTATGACTGGTATTTTAGACTCGGATAATGCTTCTGTGGCACTAAAGTGAATCTCAGAGGGGTCGTCAATCTCAATAAAACCGCAGGGGGGGGATGATTTGAGGAAATCACCGTTACTCCAGAGAGAGTAATCCTGCTTCTCTTAGTACTGTGATCCTTCTACATTTAACCTCAGGCCCAGATGGAGTTGTAGTGATTTAGCAATACAAGCTTCAATTTATAGGAGTGGAGTCATTTTTTAAAAAGGTCAGGTCACGGTTGCCGAACCTCGTGCTGGTGGAGAAGACAGGTGTGCTGGCTAGGAGAACTGTTTAACACTCTTGGCGTCCGGTGGGGATTGGTGAGCGGGGGGGGGGAGGGGGGTGTTGAATTTGGCTTGTGATGTCCGGTTACCTTTTTCTCAACTCTGCTGTCAACAACGTCTTCTGGGAAAGCAACAGCCCGTCTGACAGAGTGATATGGCAGACATTCATGTGACGTTTATGGGACAGGGGTGTCATATAAGTCACATTACTCTCAAGGTATGAGGGGTATGCCACTGAGGCACGGCACCAAAGTATACACTCAAAACAAAGAGATGGATTGGGTTAGGAGTGCTCCCAGATTTGTAAACGACGACAAGCTTAATTTTTTCCGATAATTACAGGTGCTTTTGTGATTTGATCATTTTCTACTTTGAAATGTTTGCTAAAGACAAAAAGTGATACTCAGTGACGGAAGAGGTCTTCAGATTCAATGTCCACAATGCCAATCCTACTCAAAGGATCAGTGGTCAACATCCCAAATGATGGATCACCACAAACAATGGCACTAAAAACCACACACGCTGCACAAACAGCAGCCTCCAGGTCCCCCAACCCTCTTTTGACTTTGCAGCTCAGCAGGACAAATCAAGGTCACGGAGACTTCACCTCTCCATCAGCACCGCCACATTACATCCACACACACACAACCACATACAGTCGCATGGTTCCCAAGGATTGGGGGGCCACAGCTGGCTTCCAGCAGACCTCCAGAAGCAGCGAGGCTTTCGACACTAATGCACAAAGTGACGATGAGATCAATGGAAACGGAAAAAGCAGTCAGCAGCGTGCAGGGGATAATATGAATGACCGTCATTAGGGCCCATCATCGTGCCATGCCGGCCTCAGACCTCACTTCAGCCGTCTGCCCTGGCAGCGCCAGTGCTTCTGTATGGATAAAGAGCTTTGTGCCGCCCATTGAGCAGCAAGTAGCGAGCGCTGCTCCCCACACAGTGCCTCCGCTCGCCTCCCGAGTTTAAATATAACCCGCCTGTCTAGCGGCAGCTGCCCCGGTGCAAAGCCCCTAAAGCTGACAACTTCTTTTTCCGCTAGGCCGGGCTCGGCCTGCCCCGTGGTAAGGGATGCTGAGGCCAACCCACCGGGGCCAAGCCAGGGGCAGGGGCAGAGGTGTGAATGTCCACATGTGCTGGTGCCAATCAGGGCTGACGGTTGGCTTCAACTCCTGAGCTAACCCCTTCTCCATAAACCCCCCCACCCCTTCCCCCACAGCTAGGAAGGAAGAGCCCACACACTCAAACCACATTAAAACTATGGGTTTGCGAATGTTGTACCTATAAAAATGTTTACACAAAATACACAAAACCACATTCATATAAACCACATCATCATCTGTTTTGGGCAACGATATGTACAAAGAGTGGGAATGAAATAAAATAAATTAAAATAACAATGAAGACAGTAAGAGTGAGTAGGTGTTTGGGGGGGTATGAAGCGGCACCTTGCAGGTAAAACCGGTTAGTCTAGTCTGCCGGAGTCCAGTAAGGCAGAGCTTGGCCTGTGTTGACGAGTATGTCTGCAAGACAGAGGTCACCGTAGAGGACAACTTAACCAAGTGAATCAGGCCTGCGCAAACAAGCTGACACCATGTGTGTGTGCGTGTGTGTGTGTGTGTGTGTGTGTGTGTGTGTGTGTGTGTGTGTGTGCCCGCCTGTGCGTTTTCTATGGTAGTCGAATACCACTGCCTAAGTGTAAAATGGAATAAAGCCAGAGAGAAGCCGGGGTTATTTCAGTCAGCTACACATCTATGTTTAGGCGTAAACTTTCCAGCCACATTTGGCTGGCTGTGTACGCGAGTTGCTCTTTTGTTTATGTGTGCGTGCCTCCTGCTTTCATTAAGTAGCCCTGCCGGCCTCGTCAGGTATGTCAGCTGCCGTGGCGCCTGTGAGGAGCGGAGCGGTGCGGGAACCTCGGACCTTTCATGTAAGGTGGCGCTGAAAGCCGCCCCGAGGTGGACAGATTCCCCATTGGTCACTGCTTTCAGGAATGGGAGACTGTGGCAGCTGAGGACAATCCCCAACCTCACACATGCACACTTCTGCACATCAACATCAAACTCATACAATTCTTGAATCAAATATACATGAACAATTTTATAGCAACCATGTTTTGCTCTGAGCAGGTGCCAAGCACCTCTTGTTGCGCTTGGCACGCTGGTCTTATGTGTCAGACAACAACAAGCAAACCTGTTTAAACAGTGAATAGCTGCCTCCCTCCATCTCTTTTGATAGCAGCGGACGTCTATTTCAAAAAGACACTTTATTCTTCAAAGGATGTTTACTCAGACTGGGTGAGGGGAGTGTTCGTTTATGTGTGTGTGTGCATGTGCCTGGGTTCAAAAGAGCGCCTACAAAGTGAGGGATTAGTGAGGGATTCTAGACCATTCCTGAGGCAAGACCGGGCCCATCCCACCTCACATCACACCTGGACCGAGACGACTTTCTCTCGGGATGGACCCACTTCCTCAAGCATCCACTCGCCAACATGTTAACGCGCAAAAACCGGAAGAGTCCGGATGTGGGCTGGAGGAGGTCTCCTTTACGGACTCCCGGAAGAGAGTAGTGTCAGAGGAGCGGAGACGTCCCCTTGCTTGTTCTCAGTAAACAACATGACACAACTAGATGCAATGTTAGGTCACTCTTTAAATAAAGACCGAGGAAGAATCGGCATCCTCACGTTCCATGGATCAAATGGCTTAAAGACTGCCGGATATGTCACTCCCGCCGGCTGAATTGCTGAAGGGGCATGTGGTGGTGGGGGAGGACGTCTTAAGGACACAATATCTGCTCCTTTGACTGTTGAACATGCACCTCAACTAAAACTTCGGAAAAAAAAAAACCTTTAAGTGCTTGCTTTACAAGAAAGGATTGTGTGAGGGGCTTCTACTTCTAAGACAATCCGTTTTCCAAAAAGTTAACCTTCTTCCTTCGTGGATGTAGTTTAACACGGTGCAATAAAAAACATTTTGTAAGAGCAGCTATCACTGAGATGCAAAAGTTATAGCAACATCTCACAAATGCTTCAGAGAACTTGGCGACTGCAGAGCAAATCGACCATGAGGAAGATTTCAGTACTAATAGATATATACTGATATGTCGGTAAAGAGGGAAAAACAAACTTAAGTGGGGGGAAAAAAGCCCATCATGGAAATGTGCCCCAGGTTAAGAAATGTGTTTAAACATTTGCCTCCCCCAGTTCCCGCTGAAGAAAAAAGAGAAACTTGCTTGGAACAAGGGACCACAAACTAGCAGATAAATGAATTCCAACTATCTGCAGGAATCAACCGCTCTGTGCTGAAACCCCACCAAGTCAAACAGGAGTCATTTCTTATGGACTGAAGCGAAATCCAAACCCGCACGTTCCCCTGACTCAAGTCTTAAAGTCCAACGGAGCAGATGCACGCTGCGAGCTCCGCTACACCCACAGGAGCTCAGGGACGGGCGGATGGAGAGAAATGGGAAGAAAGGAGTGAGGAAAAACAGCCACGGACGAAGCCAAGAGCAACAGCATCGTGCTGTTTTTCTCCCCATCAGCAAGTTTGACTTTATGCCGTATGGCAAAAGGGCGAGAGTCAGAGAGTCAGACCAAATCACTGGATCAATTCAAGGCTTTCCCAATAGTGGTCGATGTGGCAGTTGTCTCCTCAAGGTCTATTGAGAGAACTAATGCTTTTTTTGTGTCTCCCCGATTGTTATTGCATCAGATTAACTCGCCGAGCCGTTTCAAAGAGCGACGCCAGTGGAAAACAAATTCAAATGGACGGGATGTGCAGGCAAAGATGAGATAACACGGACAGAGTTGAGTTATACCTCAAACGTATGTCAAAACTCAGCTCCAGCCAGAGCCCTGGCGAGTACTGAGCGGATATCTCTCAAACGCATCACTGAACTGTGGGAGGACAAGCATGCCTCATGAGGGTTGCCGTGAAGGAGGTGGGGGTGATGACACAGTCCATATCTCATCGCAGTAAAATGAAAATAAACGTCTGAAAAACCACAACGATAGCCAAATGGAAGGTGTCTGCAGGCACAGTGAGCCCAGAGCCCACATGCCCTCTTCTGTGGGTCCCAGCGCTCACCCACAGGAATGTGATGACACGACTGAAGGGGTGAGGGCTCTGTTCCCACAATAAAGAAGCACCAGACACCAAAGGGACATCTTCCCCTTTGGAGGTCCAGACTGCCATCACCCCTCTGTCGTCAACGAGCACCGCGCATGGAGTTTGAAATTTAGACCCTGCGTTCACCTGCAAGCAGCAATGCCCACACACCGAGATTAGTCCTACTCATTACTATTACTGTATCTACGTGAAGGTATTGATAAGAGACCTGTAAAAGTAGTTTTGAAAGGAAAAATAACACTGCTTGCCTCTCGGTTGCCAAAGATAAACATGAAATAATTACTGTTGAAAACTTTGCAGAGTTGTAAAAGGCATCCTAGTCTTATCACAATGCAAAAGTCCTGTATTCTGGCATCTGATATGCATTGAAAACGCATGAATGGATCTGACTCACCATATTGATTCCCGTTGAAAAGAGGCTGGTAGGTTTGACGGCCTGTTTCTGCTGCTCTATCTGGGTCTCCAGCTTGGCGGCACGGACCTTGTGTTGGGCGAGCAGCATGGTGGCAGGAAGTTGAGAATGCTCCTGGAAGGACAAATGGGATTTTATGATAATGTTAATCTTGGTGTGTTCCATGCCACTAAATGCTTCATCGGGAACTGCTCATCATACCACCTGAAACTTGTATGTATAAGTTTCCACCCCCACCGCACACACACCATCATCAGACTAGGGTGATTTTGGGCTACATTATTGATCGTTATTGTGTGGCACTGCAGGGGACGCTACGTCAAGTACACTGCGCCGTCTTCGTCTCCATTAAAAGCAAAAAGCAAGGTCGAACATTTCAATGTCTCAGGTGGAGCGCTGCCAAGCGCTGGCGTCTAAGACACAAGCGTAGATACTTTGTTCGCTGAAGGGGTAGGACATTTTTGTTGGGGCGGATATCAATGGAAGCAGCATTAAATAATAAACCAAAAGTGATTTACTGGCTTCCAACACACTGGATGAAACATTTACCACTTATGTAAGTTCTACCTATTTTGTACAGGTGAATTTACTGCTTTATTTGGATCACATCAAATAACTAACATGATTATCATTTTACTTTAATAAGTTGCTGAAGAACAAATAATCAAGAAGCGCGTCACACTGATGCGTTTTATTGAGCCACTAGTTCAGCAAACACCAACAAGAAATCTAAATATATCGGTTGTTGTATGCGTATGAAAAAACAGTGAGCTCTCTGACCACAGGGATGTACATATGTCAACGCTCAGGACCGTTCCCCCTGGGGGGGGTTGGAGCTGATCTCATCTGCCTACAGTCAACAGGCCCTGTGCCTTAAACAAACAAACACACAGCTTAGCCTGCTATCTGCGATGGTGCTTCAGCAGCCCGCTCTGCAGGAACAATCACTTCCAAAGCCAGCAGCTCAACACAATGGGCACAGAAGCCTTTGGAATCACAGAATGAAAACAATGCAGCCCTTAGCACAATGACTGGTAATAATCTCTTAATGATCCACAGCCATGAACCCTCAGGCTGAAGGTGTGTGAGTGGGTGTGTTTGTGCGCCAGATTTGGAACATCCGTCACAGTGCGACTGCTTTTGTCGCCACCGGACCGAACCGAAGTGCAACGTGTGGATCTCACCAGCTCATCCAGCAGAGCCTGCTTGTTCTTCCTCTTAGCCTGCAGCTGCCTCTGCTCCTCCTGCAGCAGCTCCAGCCTCCGCTGCTCGTTGCCCTGCTTTTCCAGCAGCAGCAGCTCCTCCACTTCCTCCTGCTCTCTTGTCTGAGGAGAACACGAAAAAGGCGGAATTCCTGCTGCCCATATTGCACGTGACCCAACAGTCTTGGTGGGCTCAAGCAAACGTACATACCAGTTTAACCTTGTTCTTCTGGATGAGATCTCTGTTCTCCCTCTGGTATTGCTCCATCTGCAGCTTGGTGTTCTCCACATCAATGTTGTTTGTCAGGTTAGACACTACGGAGCGGACACCAACCAGCATTAAAGGGACAGTATACTACATTGGAAATTACTTTTGGATCATTGAACAGCTTGTTCAATCCACTGATTAGCCAGCTATTTCCCTAAGCAAAGTTCTTCAAAATACTGTAAAAAGTGCCATTGACAATCAACTGTGATCTAACTAAGAAAAATATAAAATAAGAATGTGACCGAGCCTTCTGAAATTGTATTGATGTATAATTGGAACTAGATACCTGACTTTAACATGACATTAATACTATTTTTTAGCTCTCCTCTGTCCCACATTTCTACTATTTTTTAGCTCTCCTCTGTCCCACATTTCTGCCTGTTTTCATTTTTACTTACTTACAAATAATAACAGAGGTTATCCTCTGTATTAGATATTTACTATTGCATTTGTCTTAATTCAATTTAAAAGCGGCAGATAAAGAAATATTATTGAAAGGGCAAAAATCTAATTGTATTACTGTTGTGTAGTTATATTGATAGGTAGAACATTTTTTAGGGCACGTGATGTTTTCTGGTGTAGCAACAGATTATGGTTTTGTTTCTAATACAGGTCATAGCCTCTTGTTTCTTGTTCTTCGGATTTTGTATCCTTATGGTTGAAATGCAATTATTGTAAGTCGCTTCGGATAAAAGCGTCAGCTAAGTGACATGTAATGTAATAATGTCTTCCAACTCAAAACTACGCATTTGCTTTTAATTTGCGTGAGGCTTTTTCTACATAAAAAAAAAGGCACAGAAATCGAAACTGTTTCGCCGCCACTGCAATGTGTAATCTTCATGGTTTGAAAGCGTATGATGCATATAGTAATAAACAACCAGATGTTTAGTCCCGTCAAAGGTGTGACGGACCCTCAAATGTGGGTCAGTAGGGTAAAATGCTTTTGGGCCCGTTTGATTTGGTGGCAGTAGCTTTTCCACAGGCACAAAGTAGCAAATAGTCACTCGCTCGATGCATCCATGCTTAAACTCAATGGGGGGTCCAGATGTGTTAGCATTACACTTATAGGCATCCCTTCTGCCATTTCTTTCAGTGAGGCTTCCGAGTTGGTCCTACCTACGTCCTCCACCCGCTCAAGGTAGTCGTTGTACTCCCTCAGGCTCGGGAAGTCAAAATCTCTCTTGTTGTATCTGAGGAGTAATAGCGAAACCCGATGAAAGCAAATATGCGGCAGCATTAATAGCCTCCATTAAATCAACCATTTTAAAATACCATGCCTGCATGCTGGCTAATAGACACACATTAGATGTCAATTAAGGGGCTATTAACGAACAGATGAGAGGGAAGGCCGGGAGGGGCTGAGGAGTAAAAACCTGGCAGTGAAAGAGCCTTCCTGTTTGACCCCCCCCACCCCCGGGGGGACTCATTGTCTACAAAACAAACAGTGTAATGAGAAAGACAAAGGTGGCTTAAGAAGAGGGAGGAGGCATGAGATGACACATAAACACACAGAGCCCCACCTCTAAACCCTTCTGCCGCCCCCCACACTCACATCTTCAGCACCTTCTTGCGAATCTCCACCTCCTTATCCACGGTCGGGTCTTCGAAGAGCTGCACGCGGAAGTTGCTCTTCCTCAGGGGTGTTTCACACTGCACGCAGTTACCCGAGCCGCGCACAAACAGCATCTCCACACAGTTCTCGCATCTGTTGGGGAGAAAGAACAACGGAACAGAAACAACATCAAGCCGAGCCGAATGTTTTTCCAGAGGTGACCCTTTTCCAGTCAGGCCTGAGAGGCAGCTGGAAGCAAGGGTGGGCGTGTGTGATACAGCTTTCATCGCAAATAAAGTCAATTTGTGTTCTCTCTCTGGTGTCTGCAGGTTATGATCAAGCGCAGTGGGTGATAATGGGGCATATGAATATTTCCTCTGAGTGCTCAAAGATGGCTGGGATTAATATTGGAATGTCGATGAGGCTGCCTCCTGCTCTCAGACTGGAGGAAATTAGTCTGACACCCCATCAGTGCTGTGTGTGTGTGTGTGTGTGTGTGTGTGTGTGTGTGTGTGTGTGTGTGTGTGTCTAGTCTGCAATGGAAAAACATTTGCATTGCTGTTATTTCAACAGACCTCAGTCATGCCACGTATACATAATATAATAAAACCGAGCTGTGTAATTCACAGCGTACTCTATCATTATTATAATGATATAATGAGTCTTTTACGCAAAGGAATACAGATCTGCAATTGCAGCTTACGGCTTTCATTTATCTGAAAATGTAAGTTTCATATCTAAAAGACACATCAATATTTTAAATGCAATTTCGAAAAAGCTCTATTATGGAGACGTCAAAGCTCCTTTTTTTAAAAATATTTCGGATATCGAGTACATTGTACTACTCCATAATGGAGTCGAGTTACGTTCCACGACAAATATGCAGCAGTCCAGCGCAGTCATGATGAGTTTTTCAGGCATTCAGCACAGAGGACGCCTCTCCACTTATTCACTTAATTATGACGACAATGGTAGGAACATACTTTGAATGATGTTGGAAAATGTCAGGTAAAAACAGGAAGGTTTACTCCACGCACCATGACAACATGACAACTGTCAGACCCGGCTAAGGGCGCAACCCTGAGCTCAGCCATCAATCACACCTTTATGCAGGTAGGCGTTTACCCATCCGTCACACTCAAGTGAGGAGTGGACACTGAAGACAATGGGAAGGTTCCCAAATCCCCCCCGATAGAGTGGCGGGCCTGGATAAACGTTTACACGGTACACCTTTTTTTAATTAAGTCTCTGCAGAGCTTTATTTCCACAGGAGTTCACCTTCCTGCTGACAGCCACCTTTCCAAAAACAGAATATCTGCTTTTGAGTGCAGACGGTTTACATAAAGGACTGAGGCAAACGTCTTTGACGGTGGGGTTGAGTCATTTCTTTCCAAAGTCAAGTACCGGGCTTGAGGGCTACCTGGGCCCAATAGAAAATCCTGAGAAAGTCATCATGCGAGTCGTTTTACTTGATCAGCAGGATTCAACCCCCCCACCCCCAAAAAAAGCAGTTAAAGTTGAAACTGCAGAGCCATGAAGTTTGGCTGTTTACATCCAACGTCTTGGATATGGGTCAAACAAGCCCAACCTGTCAAGTGTGACGCCACGCTTTCCGTCATGCCACATGCAGGGGGGGGAGATATGTTACAAGGACGCCAGATTAGCTGAGTTTAAGATGAAGCCAAAAAAAAAGAAGAAAAAAAAAACGACACACGGAAACATCTGCGTCGTCCAGTTGGTGCTTAGGAGCGCGAGGAGTCCCCGCTCAAGTGCACCATGGGAGAGGCAGATGTTCACTGTGGCCCCAGGCCACAAGAGATCTATAGGCCCGGCCATATGGAGGTAGATGGAGGGGTTCGGCTTGTTTCCACAGGCCCACAAAGAGCCCATTCATCAACACAAGACGAGGAGTGGGGCGTAGCTTGCCCCCTTGCCCCATAAATGGACCACACATCAGAACCCTCCAAAGGGGAAATCCTGTGTAACTCTAGGAGGCAAAGAGCTGGATGCCTCATACGGAGGGAGGAGATTTTAGAGTCAATTTGCCATCCTGCATCTGAAATGCGCTCTTCTCTAAACAAGGGACGGCTTTTTCGAATGTGCCTTTTGCCATTTGTAGTCAACAGGGGACTCAGAAAGCTCTTGCCTGGCTGCGCCGTATTGCTCGAGCATACTGAACAGACAATTAAGTGAGCCGACAGATCTCCAGCAGCTCTGTGTCCTAGGGCTGTTGTCACTGACTGAGTGCTCCCTACTCCTCCCTCCCTCACCTGTCCTGCTCGGAGCTTGAGGCTCCTATCTGTCCCATCTGCAGCTGTCAGCAGGTCAAAAAAGGGGGTTAAAAGGGAGGGTGAAAAGGGTCCTGGTTCAGCAAAGAGGCCACACCATCACCGGTGACATTGTCCGTCTGCTTCTCCTTCTTCTCGTGTACAAATAAAACAGCGCTATAAACGGAGCATGATTCACGGAGCAACGTCAGACTGCCTTTGTGTCAAATTTAAACCTGCTGTGACACCGTGTCCTGCCGTGTGACCTATACAATACCTGCGACAGCAGAGTCAAAAAACGCTGAGGCCCACGAGTGCGATTGCTTATACGGGACGCACGCACAGGCTTGTTTGAGCTTGAAAAAATAAAGCTGAGGTTTGGTGTACTTTTACCTTTAAGACGGAGCAGACAAAAGAATGTCAGGCCGTCCATGTCTTTATATGTGCAGAATTAACTGGAACATTGCACCATTATTATATTGCATCATTCGTTTCTGAGCTCAATACTACATTACTTGGTCAGTGTTGACTGGAACAGCCCCTTTATCAGGTCAATGCAGAGTGAGGCTTACGGTTATTTAAATGTAAATTGTGCCCTTGTAATTTCAAGAGTTGACTGTAAACATGAAGGTTATTTATTTTAAGAAATCCGACGAAAACACCTGTCAAAGTTTTAGAAAGCTCAAGGTGACATCTTCATCTCTTATTCTTCTGTAAACAGCTTATAAAACAGAGAGTCTTTGGGAACAATCCAATGAATGCATTTTAATTACATTATGCGTTTTGAAAATGGTTGTAGATTCATTTTCTGTCAAATAGCTATTTGAATAATAAATAAATAGGAAGAGTGTCGTCGACTGTCATACTTTATTTCAGAAATAGTAATAAAATGTGCTATCAGGTCCTTCAGATTTACTCTGTGCTGTTCTTGCTTACACGAACAATCACAAATGGAGGTGTATCCTCCTGAGGGAAAAGGCAGGGACCAAGAAGTTCATTTGTGTGTGCAAAAACACATTTGCTACATTTCCCTATATTTTGTATTCATTCTTTCTACAACAAGGTGTGGAATTGGTACCACGTCTGCTACTGTACGGACCTCCGTATGTATCAGCTCCAAACGACGTCAGTGATGAAAATACAGATTCAGTTTGAGAGTAGAGCAGTTTCCAAGTGGTGCATTAATTCACTGTTGCACCCGCTCCGAGGAACAACTCCAAGGTGACCTGGACTAGGACATCTCCAAATTGCTTCATTGCAGAATCATTTCAATTTTCTGTGTGTAGCCGGGCATACCGACGCGGCCGGTGAGTTATGAGCTTGCTGACCTGATGACAAAGCATGGCCACTTCCTGATGGCACGGTCAATAAACAGACAGGGTCAAAAAGATGCTCCCATCAGACAACCACCGTCACTGCAGAATCCTCGTAGAGAACATGCCCCCCTCAATTGAACGACCAGGTTTGCAAACAGATGACATGGCTGAATAATAGAAAATGCACAACCAACAAGATTTACTGAGTACTGACATGAGGGGGACACACACTCAAACGGGACTTAAGTTTAGTAATAAATGTGATCAATTTGTGATTATCTGTGCCTTTATAAAATCAAATACCATGTGTATTGCTGGCTACAGTTTGACAAAAGCAAAGATTTCCCTACATTATTGTACGTTAATGCATTAAATTGACATACGATTTGAATGGAATTTAGCTCAAATTCAATCCAATTAGATTCAGTAAAGGGATCCATAACCAGGTGTATGAGGTAAACTGCTGAAACCGACCAGACACAGGGTGAGAAGTGGGGAAACCATGTTGTCTTTAGGGATCACTTTTTGTTACATAAAGTTAATAAGGTTGATTATATATATATATATATATATATATATATATTATATATATATATATATATATATATATTAGTATATTGGATCCAGCTTACATCCAGGACCTGGTCAAACCCGACATCCCGACCCGAACTCTCCGCTCTGCATCTGCCAAACTGCTCGTCCCTCCGTCACAGAGAGCAAAACACTCGACTGGATCACGACTCTTTGCTGTCGTGGCTCCGTAAGGGTGGAACGAGCTCTCTGAAGACACCAGGACCGCAGAGAGCCTTCACATCTTCCGCCGCAAACTAAAGACACACCTTTTCAGACTCTACCTCGACTAAAAGACTAACAAATTGTAGCACTTAAATTGTACTTGTAACGCCACTCATCTCTAGCAAATTGTAAATTGGCTTATTTGAGGAAATTGCACTTTCTTGTTTCTTGCTCTGAGTTTGTATCCCTATGGTTGAATGCACTTATTGTCAGTCGCTTTGGATAAAAGCGTCAGTAATGTAATATAGTACTTTACCCAGTTAGGGAAGGGAACAAATAAGCAGTGCATGTTGTTTTGATTAGGAATAATGAGAATTAAGTGGGAAGTTGTAATGCAGCACTCTGTCTGCTGCTGTCTGACTGTCACACCCCCATGGCAACTGTTCTCTTTCAGGATGACCACAATGTTATTACATTAACAATAGAACATATTTGCTTTATAACACATAATGTGCCAGATGGCTAATTAGAGAGCATTGAAATCCATTAGCTGCTAGCTCACAACTCGCGAGGCTGTACTTAACTCAACGTGTGATGCACGTGAACCAAGCGTTGGCATTTTAGGGTTAATAATAAGGACATAGTTGTATATACATACGTACCCGTGTGCTTTATATATATATATATATATGTGCTTTATATATGTATATTTCTGCACAAACTGGGGCACATTAGCGTCGCTGCGTGCTTTCCTTGAGCCGTCGCGTTTAAATAGCGTTACTCACAGCGTGTGGCCGCACACGTTCACCATCAGCTTCAGCGAAGGATTCCTGTATTTGGTGGTTTTGCATCTCGGGCATCCCTGGTCGTCCATTTCTGTCCGGGCGACACAAAATAAAGACTCGAGAGAGATGTCAACAACTGAGAAGCCCTGTGCTCCTGTCACTTTCCCGGTGGCGAACTGCTGTGTTACACCGAATGCGGTCCGACCGGAAACGCCACTAATAGGAGTTGTTCCGATCTAACGTTGACCTCTAATAAGATAGTGACGATTCGTCTGAGGTGAAGGGCTGAGTTGTTTATCTTCACGTGTGCCCTCATTTGTATTTGAATATATACCATAAGTTTTACTGTCTCCGCTGTGTAGTAACCTGTAGATTTCTCCCGTATATTGCATGACTGAACGTAAGTCTGCACTGAGACATCATTTAAACTCTCCAGATGATACTCACCAGGGCTTCTGACATGAAGGTTTTGGTTGGATGTGTAACTGTTGGCATTGTTTATTCAAGATAATAACTCCAATGACATATACACCACGTTGGAGGATGTATCATACCATTTATTGTTTTAAATAAACAATGCACAATGAAGATAGAACGGGGTGATTAAAGTATTTAGACATTGATTTTACTACATAGAACATATTTGGTTTATAACACATACTACATATATATGTATGTATATAAATATACATTATATATAGTAAAATCAATAAAAACCCAGACCTATGGGTATATTGATTTTACTGTCTTTGTATAAATGTTATTGATCCACCCCAAGCCAGACCTGCCACTTAAGACTGGACATTATTATTTGTAAATTGAAAGAAAAAAAACAGCAATTTTGACAGTTTTTTTCTTTTTTTGACATGACAATAGTAATCCTTATTTCGAAAATGTGAAAATACTTTTATTTAAAATTATATTCATGGCAAACGGATGGTCGGCTTGACAGACATATCACATCGCTTAATGAAACCCCCAAACATGTTCTGAATTTGCAGACAAACTGGCAAAATTCACACTTCATCTCTCAATCACAACCAGCACCTTTAGTGGAAACTATGTATGTAGTTATAAAAAGGTTGAGTGCATCGTACGTATCTCCGATAAGTCCCGTCGGAGTGCCAACATGTATTCAATGTTTTGTGAGTTGATATACAATCGTAGAATAATTTCAAATTGGCACAATGGCCGTATTGTCTCCGGATCATTTCCCCCCCTATTCTCCTCGATATGAGAATAAAACCGCTTTGATGTTTTCACTCGCAGCCAAGTCAGCCGCTCCTGACAATACGAACAACGAGGATATCCCGTTCCCACGATCCAAAAAAAGCACTCACCTTGCACAGGTGAGCCACGGGAATACACTTATATGACTGACAGCTGGAAACCAAACATTCGCGTCTGAATCCCGCTCGCTCCTCCCTTACGAGGCCCCCGGCGGCCAATGGCGTGGCTCTCCTGCAGATAGACCCCAGTGTGTCTCCTTCAGTTCCAGTCGCGGCAGACTAAAAGTCACGTTGGAAGGAAAGGGGGGAGAGAGAGAGAGAGAGAGAGAGATATCTACTTACAGCTGCTGTCAGACATCCGATCGCATTCGCATGGCGAGGAGGTAACCTGATCGAGCTGGGAGGAGTGACTTTACCGGGGAAGGTTTGAACAAAAAAAAAAAAAACATGTCTTCTTCTTCTGCCGGAGGAGTCACAACAGCAAATGACATCAAGAGGGAAAATGTGAAGGAGGTGGATAAGCGGGAGTGCATCAAGCTTGTGGCGCTGGACGCGGCGGAGTTGTCCATGGAGCGCAACGCGGACGCGGTGCGCACGGAGCTGTTGGTGAGCGCCGCTTCCTCTCTGGCTTTCTCCCCGGAGCAAGTGGCGTGCGTTTGCGAGGCATTGCAGCAAGGGGGTAATGTGGACCGGCTGGCCAGGTTCCTGTGGTCCCTGCCACAGAGTGACCTGCTCCGTGGGAACGAAAGCATCCTGAAAGCGCAAGCCCTCGTAGCGTACCACCAGGCTCGGTACCAGGAGCTGTACAGTATTTTGGAGAACCACAGTTTCAGCCCGTCCAACCACACCTTTCTGCAAGATCTGTGGTACAAGGCCCGGTACACCGAGGCGGAGAAGGCACGGGGGAGACCCCTGGGCGCCGTGGACAAGTACAGGATCCGGAGAAAGTACCCTCTCCCCAGGACTATCTGGGACGGCGAGGAGACTGTGTATTGTTTCAAGGAGAGGTCCCGCAACGCGCTGAAGGATCTTTATAACCACAATAGGTATCCGTCTCCGGCAGAGAAAAGAAACCTCGCCAAGATTACAGGACTCTCCCTGACCCAGGTCAGCAACTGGTTCAAAAACAGGAGACAGAGAGACAGAAACCCGTCCGAAGCACAATCGAAAAGGTGAGGAAACAAAAGAAACCAGCCACGCAATAGGCTGAATGAGTGACCAGCTCCAGACACGACCGTTTTTAAACTGTCGAATGGGTGTGCGTAAAATGTGTAATAAAACAGAACCAGAGTCATTTAGAACGGCTTTTTTTTGTGTGGAGGGGTGCATGAAGTTCACCAGCATTCCCTTTGGCTGACGATAGTATTTATTAATCTCCCATCTGACTCATTTTAAAATACCGGGCAGTGATAATTATTAACCGCTGATAATTATAGGAAACCCAAAAAAGTGTGCGTAAAAGGTTTTGGAGCACGTTTTAAATGTTTTGAAATATGAAGCGGTTGCCACTCAGATCCGGTTTCAAGTGTGTTGGTGCACAGGGGCATGGAAACCACACGCAACTAAATAACCCCGTGACTTGCACGCTCCTGTGATTTCGAAGTTGCTAACTTAAACAGTCAACACTTTGCTTTAATGGATTCTGCTATTTGCAGTGAGTGTATGTCAGTCACAGATGAAACAAACACAATAACGCGTGCACGTTTCCCCTTCGCAGCACATGAATCATTTTCATTGTTACTTGTTTTCTTCCTCTCAGACCAAAAGGGATCTAAAAGCCTCCATCGGCTCCTGCGTTTCATTTCATAATCCTCCACACAGACACACAGAAATGCTGCTTCTTTCATGTTTCCCTCTTTGTGAACAAAGCTGACTCACACCTGGTGGAGGTGACCTCTCTCTCTCTCTCTCTCTCTCTCTCTCTCTCTCTCTCTCTCTCTCTCTCTCTCTCTCCCTTTCTCACGCGCACACACAGACATCACGCACACACCATTACAGTTTGCTTAAAGTCGGCTCTGAAATGATTCAGTAACGTTCAAGTACACGTTTACAGGCCGGTAAATATTTTTGAACAAGTCGTCTAATATTTTACCTTTCCTTTCCCGGAAAGTGTTGGTGAGAGGTTTTTAGTGCGCGTGAGGGCGCGCGTGCGGGTACTCGTGAGCGTGATGGAGGGGATGCAGCTGCTTGGTTCCATCTCTAAAAACATATTCGTTTATTGCGTAATTATCTCTATACATGTACCGACTATTTATACATCATCGTAAGTCTTCAAGGAAACGGACGAAGAGGGATTTATAATTACAGCACCGTTTGAATTAAATTAAAAGGAATACTGTCAGCCATTTGTTTTGTCACTCCACCAGCGCCGCATCCTGTCACGCCACAATTTATTGCGCCAAATGGTTGCACGGTTGTTGACGTTGGTTGCTGTTGCCAGTGTGGCTCTCCGTGAGGTATTGGTGGACTAGACGTTCACTAACAGCCTGCTCTTCAAAGCTGTGTAGTAACACAGAGACAAATGTGGCTCTGGTGCAGCTGTGGGTGGAAAGGAAATAAAACGCCAAATAGCCTTTTATTGAATTTACGTTGTCGCGTGTAAAGTGTGTCTAAATTGCTGAAAGAAATGCACAAATTAATTAATGAATTAATTACTTCATAACTATATAACGGGGAACAGGCACTTTTTACAATGTTTTATTCATTTATTTACTTAATTTATGACTTAAAGTAACCTTTTGACAATAGTTTCTTTACTTATTTCAACCTTGTTTTATGACAAACCAATTGATTTGTTTTTCTCAGTGAATCTGATGGAAACCACAGCACAGAGGACGAGTCTAGCAAAGGCCAAGAGGAATTGTCTCCCCGGCCCCTCTCCAACTCCTCAGATGGAGTGATCACCCACGGGACCCTTCCCATTCAAACGGGGCCCCTGGACAGTGGGGTGGTCCTCCAACAGATCGGGGACATCAAGCTGCCCCCTGGATCCAGCAGTGGCGGCCTCTACAACGGAGGTCTAGTGACGAACACCCCCTCCGCCGTCTTTCACAACGGGGGCTCCTCTTACCTCCACACACCTGGAAACATCCTCTTCAACGGGCTCAATTTGGGCATCCAGCCGCTGGCCTTCAACCCTCTGAGGCCGTCCGGCGGGGTCTTGCTGGGGGGCTCTGGTATGGACATGCAGATGCAGACAGGGCAGGAGAAGGGACTGGGCAGTTCTGCCGAGGACTCGTCCCTGCAGTACGGCTCGTACTCGGGCTGCGTGAACGGGGCCGAGGTGAAGCTGGAGGGGGTTCACACCATGGCTCCCCAGAACGGAGCGTCCTCCGTGCTCACGTTCGGCTCCTCTTCAGGTGCGCTGCAGCTGGGTGGCTACAGTCTGGTCCAGGTACCAAGTGGAGTCTCTGACGGCGACGGCAACTCGTTACTCAACGGCGACATAGGTCTCCCTCCACTGCAGCTCTCCTCTGCTCTATCTGCCTCGACGATCACACAAGGTGAGTTCAGAAGAACTGCAAGATTAAATAAACTGACTCCTTATTATGTAGAAATAACCCTGTGTTTAGTTATATGAGGCCAATAAGAAAGACAATGATAAAACCAATTAGTTGTGACTCATGGAATATACATTATTTAATCTTGATTAAACGTTTTTAAATCCATTCAAATGTAGCACCTCTGCCATGATATATCATAGTATATAGTGCAACTAAAAATTAGGGTCCATCACTTTATTCAAATATCAAACCTACAGAAAATATTGACGTTCATATTTCCTCGCTTGATAGCAAATCCGTGGCAGTAGAAACAGGGTTGGGCCACACACATGCTCATAGAAGGTGGTCCTTTGAAAACCCCAGAGATGAATAAAAACAAGCTCTGGAGTCCCCATCACTCATCATGATTGCACTTTTGATCTGCAGAGCAGGGAGGAGGGGAAATATGTTTCAGACAATCAGTCTATGAAACGCACTCAACAGGAATAAGCCGTTACAGCACTTACTTTGACATAAAGCAGAGAATCTACACCAGGATGAATAATAAGGAAAAACAGAAAATTACGGCCTGCTGTTGACTCCTGACAGGCTCCTGCACTCGTTCCCTGGGGAACCTGCAGGTCCGGCACAAAGTGTGCGAGACACACAACAGCAATCTCGAGGCCAAGGCCTGCTGTAAATTAAAGGTATCCTACTGTGAGAACTGAGGTACTGTGTGTATTGATCCATTGTTACATCACCACAGGTAACATACCGCTGAACAACGTAGCAGTGAGTTCCTCCAGCGACTCGTTCCAGCAGCAGGACAAGCTCACCATGACGTCCCTTCACCACAACGCCGTCCTCTACAGCATGAGCAACGCCAGCCAGGCGGCCATCAAGAAGGAGCCTCTGGAGGGAGGGGTGTACTCCTCGTACCACCACGGGCTCCACCTGGACCCCAGCGGCCATCTCGGCTACTCCGCTCACAACTCGGACGAGGCTCCTTCCAGCCAAGGCGCCGCCTCGTCCACCGAGGTCTCCGCCGTCAGCTCATCCAGCCCCGAGCCAGAGGTCTACACCACCCTCACCGTCAGCACGCCCCTGATGACCCAAACGGAGCCCGGCAGCCACCACCTCCAGCCCGCAGAGTATCTCGGGGGCCACGTGTTGCGGGGGCCCTCCTCACACCTGATGGGCCCCGGCATGAACAGCAACTACATAAACCTTTCAGAAAGCAAGGCGGAAGGTTCGGGCTCGGGGGGCGTGAGGGAGATGGTGCGGGCCATGTGTGGGGAGATGGAGGCCGTGGAGGGGAAGGACCTAGCCAAACTACAGACAGTGCAGATGGAGGAGAACATGGCTGACCTTTAACCTCAAACCTCTTGTAGAAGCACTAATGTCCGCCCAAGCAGGGATATGGTGAAATGTTGAACTTTTGTGTGAGCGTGTGTGTGTGTGTGTGTGTGTGTGTGCGCGTGTGTGTTTTTTTTTTTACTATTCAATTCTTTTAAATGTTAAATTATTTTAGTTCATTTGACTTTTACAATGCACTCTAATCAGAGGGGAGCCCTGGAGGTGTGCATTATCTGGCCGTCATAAAAATAAAAGTCTGTGAGATGTTGCTAAAGGCCCCGTTCATAAGACATAACAACGGTTACGCACAGAAGAAGTTGCTTCATGTGTTGTGAGCCGTGTTTAAATATGCATCTTTATAGACAACACCTGCTACTTCCTGTTGAGTGGATTTGATCTGCAGAAGCAGGTGCTGGAATGCTTGGAGTCATGTGACAAGGATGTTCCTCCAAACTAAATGCGTCATATGGGTCAAACCAAAAAGGTCATTCAGTAGGGGGAAGAGGGAGAGAGCCTCGGTGAAAACGCTCAGTTGGAGCAACAGCTTCAGCGGAGGGCCGCACACAAACAGAGAAAAAGTGATTCAACTAACAAAGCTGCTGATTCCAGAAGAAGTGTCCTTCGGTAATCACCTTAAATGATCCGTACGCCTCTCAAGTCACTCTGAAACCCCGTTTTGTGCTTTATATCTTACCAAATGAAGAGTTAAGACGAATGTGCCTTTCCGCTACTTCAAAGACACAACGGCATTGGTCTGTTTTGGCGTTTGCACTACCATGATGACATTAAAATGTAACGCGTTTCAAACAGCCTTCATGTTGGAGGGTTTGTCATGTGTGACGCACCTCAACAAATGCACACTATTTCAGTAATGGGTTTGTATTTTAAGCCTCATCGTCAACCTGTGAGAACAAGATATAAATAATGATCTAAAGGTCGTGGCTGTCGCTTCACACTTTGTTCATCATAGCTTGTTTATAATGCTGCAACTCATAGTATGTTAACTAGATGTGACGATGCTATTCTATATCCCGTTTCCTTTTGATGTGTCTCTCCAAAACATGAATGATATTTTTCCATAAAGGGGTTGTAATAACCCCTCTTTGCATGGCGTCATAACATTTTGGACACTAGTGCCTTCCATTTTGTGTTTCCCGAGTAACGCCGACAGAAGGCTTTGTCGTGGCTATTTCGTTGGCGTGCAGGCGGTGACATTGCAGCTCGAGAGATTTACCACCACTGCCCACAGCCGTTACTGGCACATTTGTCGGGTGTCAGTCGAGGGACAGACGTGAGAATGCGGAGCCCATTTGTCAATTGTGTCCAGTGCTTTTCACAACTGCAACCTAATTCCCCGCTGTCATATGTGACCATAATAGCACATTTCAGCCTTACAGACAACTCACACCGTGCACATCTATGTGTGCATCACACGTCTTCATGCGAGTGGACTAGAAACTTTCCTTTTTCAGGGTTTATGGCATAATCCCATCAATTTGAATGGATGTTTCAATGAAAGTATCCGCAGTGCTTTGATGTCATATACCAAAAATGAGTCGAGGGCAAGTAGTAAAACTGATGGTCATTTGTTTTTTAAATCTTAGTTTGAATTGTTTGTTATCTGAAATTATGTGAATGTATTTTTCTAAATCTCCATACTGCAATAAAAGTTTATATTTATAAAAATATACAACTGATATTTGATTTATTATTGCAAACTATTTTTGTCAAAATGTTATAAACAGGGAAAAAACTCGAGATTTAAGTCAGTAAACTCATGCCAGATTAAAAGAATATCTTTCCAACAATTCGGACTCCCACACTGTGAGTTTTGGGGGGTGGGGGGGCCGGTGGGGGGGGCCATGCAGTAATCCGGCAGCCTGGTGCTGCTCCCTGCAAACCTGCAGTGATCGTTTACACATGCCTGGCAACCTGGAGTTCATTAGCCCCTCTTTTCTCATCCCAGCCCATGTAATTCAAATAAACAGCAATGAGATTTCCAGAGGTAAAGCTCCTTTTGGGTGGGGGGTCTGCAGCTCCCCAGTCCGATCCATCGGCTATTCACTCTGCAAAGGGCCGAAGCAACCCCCCACCTATAGCCGCTACTTCAACATGTGGAGAAATGAATTGAAGGTGCTGTCACTCACAGACACATGGGTCTCTCCCCCCAAAAAAGGGCCGGAGTCCTCTCGTGGCTTGAGGGGATTCTCCTTAAATGCATGAATTTCCACGCAATGGTTGTTCACTCAGTGAGCACCCGAATAAACCAGCAAGGGGATGAGACGGATTCAAAGTTTGACAAATGAACGAACAGCGGGGGATTTTACTTTATTCACAGCGTGTCTGTGTTGGATTATAGGAGTAGTCCTGTCAGCGGATCCTGGCTGGAGGAGTTATATATGATCTAACGGATGACCTAAATAAACAGAGGCTGATTGTCTGTGCTCACTGTTGGGGCACTTGAGGGAGAAGAAAAAAAATGGGTGAGACTAGCGGGAAAGGGAGGGAGAGGCAGGCAACCGGGATAAAGTTACCTGCACAGGTGACCTCGTCGCTATGGGCAGTGGATTAGCTGATTGTTAGGTATCAGGTAACTCCTCCTGTAATATTGAAGAGGGTGAAAACAGCTTTGTTGGAGCCCAGAACAATATCCCATTCGCAGCCTGGTCCGTGGGTCTCACGGGGAGGGGGCCACAGAAAACTCCAAATTCCACCTTTGTATTGTGCCCATAAATTAGACATGGAAGGAGCACAATTGTTCCCTCACAGACCATGTGTAGTATGTTTTTCATGGGGACTGAATACAGCCAGTTGCCATTTAAAAAAAAAAGTATACTGCTCCCTTTACGTGTTAAAATCAGGAAATCGCCATATCTAAATATTAGCGGTTCATTTTCTCCACAATTTCAAATATGCAATGTAAAACATACTTGGGTGAGCAATAAAAAAAAAAAGAAGGAACTCCCCCAGAACTCTGGCGTTATTAAAAACACTGACCTCTGATCTTTCAGATGGTTTCAAAGCTGACATTTAATGCGGCGCAGCAGACTGCAAGCCATATGTAACATGACCTGGCGAGCGCGGTACTCCACTGCTCCACGTCCCACTAATGAGAGGGCAGGGGTCAGCGGGTACCAGCACAGGCCCACCACTACTGGCCAAGGCATGCGAGAGGACTTCTCCCTCCTGGCAGGAACAAAATCTACTCTTGCTTATCCGAGGTTGTGCAAAGCACGTGAGATGTTTATGTACTAAAAGTCCTCAACCCCTTCAGCCTTTTGTCTTGTCTTCACTTAAAATAATTGAGTTGTGGCTCGCCAAGGTAGGAGGTATTTGTACTTCATCGACCACTGAGGGGAAGAGAAGACGCAAAAGAGTGTGACTCACCGGTTCGCTCTGATCCACAAGGACAGAAAGCACGAGTCAGATGGACAGTTTGCGAGTGAGCATGTGTGAATGTGACACACACACACACACATATGCTGGCACAGAGGCAGCAGCTGGGAAGCACCGCTGCACTTTCCCAGAGAGAAAAACTGCTCTTTGTAACGGGAGCAGTGGCAGATGAAGCCTCGATCACGTGATCAGAGTGGGGATGTGCACACTCACCTGCTGCTCTGCCCCCCACGAAAAGGTGTCATTCGCTAAAACCCAACGGCTCATCCTCCGAGGAGCATACATCTCGTTTTTGTAACGCCAGCTAACTGTCATGGCGCCCCCTCCCTGCCAGCCAGGCACACGCGGTTTAAATGCGTCCTGTTGTTTGTTTACATGTCCGACTGCTGGGGGCTGGTTTGATAACTAAAAGAAAACCCCGGATGCAAATGACCTGCGCGAGTCGTCTTTACTGCAGAGGACTGTAAAAGCCGAGGCCGTAATTGCATATTTGTGGAGGTGGTCCTCTGAGGAAATGCGTAATGATTTTGATGAGGGGGGGGGGGGGGGGTCTCTAACCCCAGCGCACTTGTACCAGGGCTAATTTTCCAACATGACAGGAAACTCTGTTAAGCTGATAATTGCAGCTCCAATTTCATTTAACTCACTCATGTCAACAGTTGTGCTTTGTTTTGAGGGACGTTTTTCACCGCCGTGCACCTCGCAGAATAAACCGCTTTAACTCTTAATTAAAGACGCATTTAGAACACCGTGCACTCAGAAACAGTACGGTAATAATATAGACTACAATTTATTATGGTAATTCGTGTATCGATAAATGCGCTTGGTCATATGCAAAGCCAGTTATTTGGTTTTCTGTGATACACGACAGTAGAATAAAAAGATTTCCACGTGCAGAACGTTAAATAAACTTGACTTATAATTAAGACTCGTGATTGCGGGCTGTGTTGATGTTGTGAATAGATAAATACATTCTAATTGTGTGTTTTTTCAGTGCAGTAAGAAGACACCCTTAATGTCACCAAAATCCCTTCCCCAAAAAACAACAACCCTGGGGACCAAATCAGACACTTTTCACTTAATTTAAACAGTATCGGCTTTGTTCCAGGCGATGCAGCTGAAATAGCACTTTGGATTTAGATAGAGCGAAAACCATCTGCTCGGTGAGCCAGTGGTCGTGTCACTTTTCCTTCGTATTTTCAAATAATAAACTCTCCAATAGGAAACGCGAACTTTTTGATGATGACATTTTTATGAAGTGTTTTTTCTGGTGCTTTGAGTTTGAGATTATTTCTTTCTCCCCATTTTCTCCCACAGTCACCGTTGCATTTCATTCGTTCCCCCCCAGACAATGCCAACGCATCTGTCGATAATAAATCAGCCATTTCCCCACCTTTAAAATGTTTTTATCATGAGGTGGAATAATGCAACCAGCAAAGGGCCCAGACGTACCCTCGGCCTATACCCCATTTAAACACCGTAACGGGAAATGGGAACACGTTCGTTTCCTCGCGGTGGAAACATTGTGACTCATTTAATCACAATTTAGAAATGCGATGACCAAAACATGGACCCCGAGCCGCACGGACAGAGGCGGGCCGGGTGGCTGCGGTCGTTGGAGGTAACCGGGGGAGTTCAACGCATGGAGAAAATAACGAGGTAAGCCTGCGAGGAATCCCCTGTTTTCTTGCCAGTCCCCGTTTTGAGAGTACCCGAGCACTGCATTATTTGCTGGGGTGTGTGTGTGTGGGGGGGGGGGTCTCAGCCCCTGCATGGCCGGGTCGGAGGCGGAGAGTCCAACATCTTGAAATAATCTCGCCCCCCGGGCTGCTCGGGTTAAAGGAGGAGGCGCGGCGCAATGTGGTAGAGATATTAGAGAAACCCGAGAGGCGCTCATCAGACAGCTCATTTACTGAAGCACTGAGGTTTTACGCACAGCAGAGCGATGCCAAAGACTGCGGCTCAAGTGGCCTGAGAGCCCGCGTGTCCACTAAAAGACGCAGTTTATTAACATGGGAAAGATATGCAAACACAGCCAGGTTTGAGTCGTATGTGGCGGGGAATGGGCTTGTTGTCTGACACGTGAGAATGGGGCTGTTATATTATCATTAAATGATCTGCAGGCGAATGCAGTGCGAAAATAGCGAAAAGTGCAATCAGCGTGAAAAGTAATAACTGGCGGGTTGTTAAATAAAGCGACTTGATTCAGACAATGACCTGACAAATCATCCGCACGCGTTACTTTCAGCAAGCTGTTTAGGGCAAATCTCTAATAAAAAGTCAAATAAATGTAGATAAAAATGTGGATCAAGTTCGACCTTTTTACACTAAGTAATTATGCCTAAATCTAAATGAATGTCGTCACTATACTTAATTGTTATTCATGAATATTTATATCTATTGTTGTTGTAAATTAAGACTTATTAGTCCATGAAATAATTTGGTTTACGGACAGTAATAGTATCGAACAGATCTATTTTTTTTCAAGTTTAATGGAAAATAACTCATAAACTAAAAAGGTATATTTTCTGAAAACGTTCTGTATGAATTTGTTTAAGTTCAATATTATAGGTCAAATCTTGTTCCTTGACATGGGCCCATTGAAAGGGTGCTTGGTTTCAGACTCCGGTGCAGATAAAGAAATGTGATCTATATGGCTCAAACCAACTGCGCCACCAAGATCCAGTGTGGCAGAGAACTAATTTACTAATGGATTGGTTTAGTGTTTCACCCCACAGAAAACACCGGAGCCACACCGGTGCCTGTCTAATCCTTGAAATATAAATGTAGACTGCCGGCTGCAGCATCTGCAGAAACACGCGATGTAAGAAATAAGCATAAAACCAGAAATATAAAGAGGAGTCTGCTATATCTGTCTTAAAGGACTCCAATATTGATTTGTAGGAGAAAAGGCGAGGAAATGTTCTAGATGAATTTATTCTCCAGATCCTCCAGGTCCACATTAGGAAACTCCTTTATTTTGCCAATTTTGAGTGTTGAATTATGCTGCCTTTTTTGTCTTATTATTTTCCATCCTGAAGATAACCGTGTGCAGTTCCATCTCGGCCTATTGTTTCCACCCACCTGCACACTCTGCAGCTGATTTCCTGTGGTTTATATCCAATAACATGTTTGTCAGGTAGGTTTGTCGTATAAAAGACGAGCGTAATGGCTCGCACGCCCAACATTAAATAGAAACTTATTAAATTATATCACCTCGTAAAATAAACGGCTTCGGTAATTAGACTATGAAAGTTGGGGATGGAACAAAATGTTAAGTCTGCATGTAATTAAGGTAGTTGGCGTCAACCATGGTCAGCTGAGATGGTAAATAAACCTCTAATAGAAACAAAAATGGAAAAGCCACAAAAAAACAATTGATATTTTCAATCTTTTTCTGAAAATGAACTGCATGCCATGGGTTGATTGCGTGATCGATTTAAGAGCATATTTCAAGCTTTAAATTCCCCCCATACGGATAAAAAGCGCTGTATCATTAGTGGGTTCACCCTCCACTGACTGTGATTACTGATCGCGTATTGAGATGCAGTGTGCGGTTTTCCCCACGTGGGAAAACTGGTAGAGTCCCCACCATCACCGAAGATGTATATTCAAAACATGTTAATATGGCTTTCTGAGGGGGGGTCTGTAATAATTGATTCGTGTTTAGGTGCTTCTCTGCTCCCTCTGCTGCAGCGGGAGAGGGACTGTGGGGGCGGGAGGTGGGAGCGCGCTCCTATTTCAGCCCCTGACGCATTGCCTCTGGGGAGGAAACGGAGCTGCAAACTCAGTCCTGCTCTGCTGTACACGGTGCAGGGCAGAAGGAGAGCCAATCACCGTAACGCACGGGCTCCCTTTAAGCCTGACATATCTCCAACAGGAACAAATTGTCCCAACAATCAACATCCCGATCTGCTGCGCGCATCGGGGGCCGGAGTGGAGCGGATCGCCTATAGGGCCTGTGTGCTGCGCGGCCGGATTGCGCTGGATTGCACTGCGGCGAGAAGCTATAGACGCAGAGAACCAAGTGACAGCTATCGGTTTGGATAACGGCGTTTTTTGGGGGGGGACGGAGGAGGGAGCTTGGACATCATGTCTATATTACCGTCATTCGGGTTTACGCAGGAGCAAGTGGCGTGCGTTTGCGAGGTGCTGCAGCAGGGAGGGAACCTGGAGCGGCTCGGCCGCTTCCTGTGGTCGCTGCCCGCCTGCGATCACCTCCACAAGAACGAGAGTGTCCTCAAAGCCAAGGCGGTGGTGGCCTTTCACCGGGGGAACTTCAGAGAGCTTTACAAGATCCTGGAAAGCCACCAGTTTTCCCCGCACAACCACCCGAAGCTGCAGCAGCTGTGGCTGAAGGCGCACTACGTGGAGGCGGAGAAGCTGCGCGGCCGGCCGCTCGGGGCCGTGGGGAAGTACCGGGTGCGGAGGAAATTCCCGCTGCCCCGCACGATATGGGACGGCGAGGAGACCAGCTACTGCTTTAAGGAGAAGTCCCGGGGCGTCCTGAGGGAGTGGTACACGCACAACCCCTATCCGTCCCCGCGGGAGAAGAGGGAGCTGGCCGAGGCCACGGGACTGACCACCACGCAGGTCAGCAACTGGTTCAAAAACAGACGGCAGCGCGACAGAGCCGCGGAGGCGAAGGAGAGGTACGTCACCGACGCACTGCGTGCACTTTGGGGAGGAAAAAAGAACAACCCCGTTTGCTTTTGCGCTCGTGTCGAGAAACGAATTTGGAGTTAGAATGAAGTATTGCTAAAAAAAAAAAGAAGCAGGCAACAGAAAGTTCCACGAGGAAGTGGCAGAGCAGGTAAATGCATATCTTTTTAATTTCTGAGAGAAATCGTTTCATTCTGAGAAGGTAAACTATTCTCATGTTTGTAATTTCGGATAGAATTCAGTCGCGTCCTGATAGCAGCAGTGAGGGCGGGTAAACAGAAGCCTGCTGTTGACAAATGATGGACTTACACAAACTGTCCTCGTTTGAAAGGAGCCTGAATGGAAAAATAAACATCTTAAATAGACATCCGCTTCAGAAATAAAATAACTTCGACTTTAATAATGAAATACGTACAATACAGACGTTTTACACGCGAGATACGTGCTAAAGTGGGTTACAGTGTAGAACAATTAACACGTGCTTTAACTTTTAAGTTATCGGGAAATCATCAAACAATATGAAAACACATTTTCTGCAAAAAGGAAGGGAAATAACTAAAACGCCTTGGGTAGTTTTTCTTCAAGGCCTATTGGCCTATACTTACCAGTCCATATCCTTTGCATCTAGTACAAATAATAATTATGGCCGCCTTTCATGCTGCCCTTTTTACTCCGAACACAATGTCAACAGAATACATGCGTATTTTCTCTCATTCCTCCCTGTTGTCGTTTCCAGAGAAAACAGCGAAAACAGCAACGCAGGCGGCAACAAACAGAACCAGCTGTCCCCGCTGGACGGAGGAAAGTCTCTCATGTCCAGCTCGGAGGACGAGTTTTCTCCACCTCAGAGCCCCGACCAGAACTCAGCGCTTATGCTTCAGGGCAACATGAACCACCCGGGGGCCTCGGCTTACCCCATGTCCGGCCTGGGGCCCCCACAGCCGGTGCACAGCATGCACGGACACCCGCACCAACTGCAGGACTCCTTGTTGGGACCTCTAACCTCCAGTCTTGTGGATTTGGGCTCTTAAAGAGACTGCCAGATTATTCTATTTTACAACAACAACAAAAAAAAAAACACCGAAAAAGAAGACTGATACGTGTATCGGAATGAGAACATTAATGAAATAACACTATAGCCTATCTTATAAAATAGACTGACTTGTCTGTCGTTAAATTTGGTTAGAACAAAATCCCTTTATGCGCTTAACCTGTATATCCCCACTGACAGGAGGCTTTTCTCTTCTCCTGCACATGACAGCAAACAAACAAACAGGACCTGCCTGGAACTCTTAAGTCAACGAGACACTTAACTGGACTGCCCATTTGCTTAATTTATGATATTTTGTTGAGATAAAAAGAATTATAGCAACCTCATGCGACGGAAACTAAGAGAGGTAACGTTTTCATTAGAGTCATGGTAATAGTTTCCAATAAAACAAAAGTAATACATTTGTCTCTGTGTTATTTGTGTATTTAGAGGGAAAAAAAGACACTAAATGTGTCGTAGATTCCGCCCCTCAGAGGAGTCTATTAGACATCGACAATTTACCATTAATTAATTGTGGTAATTAATTCACTCATTATTATGTGCATTCTTTTGTTGATTTATTTAATGATTGTATTTTTATTCTGATCGAATCCAAACAAATCCACCCTCGTGGATTGAAGCTCGGGAGTAATTTCGTGTCAAACATTGAACCTGCTCTACCGGTCGTTTTTTTTTTTTTTTTTTTAAACAATAATAATTCAAAACATAGAATTCCAAACACAGAGTCGTGAAGGGAAATTTAATTACACAAATGCGCGTCAACATGTGCAGCTGTCTGCCAGGAGGCTGATGGTTCCTTTCATTATCGTGTTTGCGTCGTCGCTCTAATATTTGGCGAAAGGAGAATGTTTTTCTTCTTTCTGTCATTTTCAGCCCGAGTGTTGCGGATCACTGGCTTTTTGTTGCCGTGTTTTCTTGGCTCTCTCCGAGTTTTCTCTGTCGGTTCCGGGCCATGGGAAAGAGCCACCACTCAACCTTTATTTACCAGCTCCGGGTATTCTGACACACAAATACCAAACATCCCACTAGGAAATCTGAAAAGTCGGCTTCCTTATCAAATCAACATAGATGCCTTTTAAACAAAACAAAACAAATTATAGGGGCTATAATAGGAGATACCCGCATAGAATTGCTAAAATATTAGTTTTACCAAGGCCGTTTGCAGACAATCCCACTCATACAAAGGTCATCATAATAATCCCAAACGTAAACAACAACAACGTGATAATAATACTAATAAATAAAGTGAATATTTGTAGGATGGAATCTGAGAATATGGTGGCCGGAGAGCAGGAATCTGGCGAGGACAGCTCTCTTGTCCCCCCACCCCCCATACACTCTTCTTTGGGCTCATGTCAGGGTAAATTGTTTTGAGCAGAGAGCACAGAGGATTTCCTGAGCATAATCTGAAACAGTCGCTGCTAGCATTACTGCCTGATTGCAAAGATTGCAGGGCTGCAGGGCTGCAACGCCCGGCTTCAGTGGAGGGACCTTGAGGTATTCTAGATCTCAGAGGCCCCTCTCGCTCGCTCTCTCTGAACCCCTCAGGTCTACTAAAAACACCGGGCTGTGCTCCCCATCTATCACCTACGGCAGATCCATATGGTTGTGTTTGAGTGATGCGGCTGTCTGAATGTCCTCAGCAGACCTTCCATCATCGGGCTTTTTGGTCAGTGGTTCCTCTTTTTGCGTTTCTAATCTAATATGTGAGGGTGGTGGAAGAAGCATTTAGATCATAAAGTAAAATTAGCCTTATTTTAATCTGTGTCATCCAAAAGTCATCAAATTAGCTACAAAATCTTCTGACGCAGAAACGTTTGTCGTGTCAGTCTGTTATTATACTATTATTATTATTATGCTATTATTTAGACCATTATTACAGATGCAGATTGAAAAACTGTAGCTACTTTTGAAGGTTGTTTAACTATAACAGCGCATTATATTTGCAACACGTTTACTGTATTTCCAAACGTTCAGAGTACTTTGGTAAAATGTTATATTTCCCCAGAAATGTGGTGAGTAGAAGTGAAAAGTATTAAATGAAAATACTCGAGTACATTTTGAAACTATTATATACATATTTCTGGCAAAACTTAGTCGAGTCAAACTTAAAGAAAGAATGTAGTTTGTTACATTCATTTTAACTTGCGTTTTAACTTCAAGATGAGAAATATGAGTTTAAGTTCCAAATGCCAAAAAAACGTGCTCAACCAATTATTTTTTACCTTTTTGAATTATCAAATTAAAACCACTCAGGGAAATTTTTAAAGTTTTTCCAGAACAATTCAATATTCGTAAATATAACTAATTAACTCGCAGCAGTGCCGTAAGATAAAAAAGTTTTAAATATCCACATCCGTACAACAAACAATTGCCCATTTGCCTCATTCAGCAGAGGTCAGCAGAGAGCCGATGTCCTGCAGATCCCTAAGAGTTCTGACAACAACGTGCGTGCTTGGCACGCCGTGTGGCTAAATATTCACAAATTAACAAACAGGTGATCGGGAAGCCACCACAGAAACTCCTCATACCTGTTAATCTAACGGCAATGTGTCCGGCAGCGTACAGACAAAGCAAGGATTAAAAAAGGCTCTGTGCCATACGACAGAGGGAGGCTGTCAGAGTCACCTTCAGGATGCGCAAGAGACTAAAATCAATCCGACACAGAAACTCTGACGGTGCTTTTAATCACGCTCGAATCCCCCGCTTCTCGAATCCGGAGGGACAACGACCGCCACGGATCCATCCGCATGCATCCGCCACCGTGTCTTCCTCTCATCGGCCTTGCAATGAGTGTCAAATGGAAGGCAGCCTATAGACTAGATGACAAAAGCTGGAGGTATATAACGTCAGCCCGCGCCGGTGCCAGCAGCAACAGCTGCCGACGGCAAACAGAGTCTGAGTCATCAAAAGGGCATTTCATTTCTCATGGGCGCAAGTGGCAGTGTCTCTAAATCAACAGCAGGAAGGGCCCTGATGTGTGCAAATAAACATGGAGAGCAGTCCGTCCAACCTCAGCTGGCTCAATGTTTTCTCTGGCGTCAGAGAGTCAGTGTGCATCTCCTATCAGGACCCGAAACCAAAGAGGGGGAACTTTGGGTTGCCTCGGCGCGGCCCAGTGCTTGCGGGCTTTATCCCACACGTGGAGGCGGGTGTGAGACAGTCCCAGGTATCCATGACCACAGGCTGTATGAGGGGTGTGTGTCAAAGGTGGGGAGGGGGGGGGGGGAGCAGGCGGGTGATGAAGGACAAAAGGATCTTTTCAGGTCTGCCTCAGAATGGCAGGAGGGGCTATGGTGTGTGGTAGGGAGGGGGAGGGGGGGGGGGGGTGGATAGATTTCCTTACCAATGATGCATGGATCTGACAATGTTCCTGCCTGAACGAACCCAGAGGCAGAGGCCGATGAGATGTGTGTGCGCAGGTGTGTGTGGCCCCACGCAGCGTGTGTGTGTGTGTGTGTATCAGAGGAAATAAAAAGTAGAAACAATTCTAGACGGCATGGAAAGGGCGTCTGCTTTGTTTCAATGACATAAAGAGATCAGAGGGATTACTGCGTCTGAAAAATGTTAATTATACCAATGTGGGAGCACGGGGGCCAGAGAGTAGGAAGCCTTTCGTCCAACAGGAAGCTCCTATGTGACAGAGCTGAAAGAAATATTTATCTCTTTCTTTCCAAGTCGGATGAGTGATGTGCGACCGAGAGTTCAGACACGAGGAGAAGGAGAGTCTGCAGACGATCCCTTCCGATTAGGGTATTAAATAGCGGGTTGTGTGTCAAATGAAGGACGGCATCATATACATTACCTGATGAAGGAGGGACATTTTGTAATATGTTAAAAGAGGAAAAGGAAAAAGGACAAGATGAGACGTGTGAAATGTCTACGATAGAGGAGTTGTGCAAAAAAAAAAAAAAAAAAAAAAAGATGGCCAGGAGGCAGAGGCTCATATAACAAACCATCTTGTTCTCCTCTAGAGACAAAAAAACAGCTCTGGTTGCTAAAAATCAGATATGTATATTTTTGGAGGCTGGAGAGAAAGATGATAGTGGCATTAGCTTCATATTTTTGATCAGACACGTGACTTCAGTCTGGGATGTTTTTTTGGGACACAACCGACTTTCTTAGTGAATTACAGCCTTTCAAAGGCAAATCACAGCCGAGGTGTATTATATCCAACACTACAACACAGTAGTTCAACTGGAAATACTTCTCTGGGATGGGATGCAAGTCTGATGAAAGACAAAGAAAAGATTAAATGGAGAAGAAGTCGACTCAAAGTAGGTTGTAGGAGCAGAATGCCACAACATAAGGATGCTAACCGTCATACCAAAGGGGAAATAAACATACAGATGCAGATATCCAATCCATAACTTTCCTAATTGTTCCTCAGAGTATTTAAAGAAGGAGTAATAATTTAAGTAATAATCACGTTCTTTGCCATCAACAATACGTTGGATGTTTGTTGCTCTTGATCCCGTTGGTTCCTGCTGAATGTGTAAATGTCATTAAAAAAAAATTTGGAAAGAGGCTCTTCCATTTTTATAAATGTCTGGTAACTGTAGTTTTTGAAGAACGTAACTCAATAAGGAATAAATAGTGCAACTATTGGGGAGTATTTTCCGCTGCAGATTAATACATAACCAATACTATGAATTTATGTATCCTTTAACTCAGGTTAAGAAACAGCTGTGAACATTGTAAATGCCCAACATACATTTAAGTATAGTTTATTATAGATGTAAAGTATGAGGTGGATTTAAAATATACTCAGGTGGTAAGTTACTGATTTACATTTTAGAAAAGAGATTTAGAAACTAAAAAGTTTTATTTTCCATTTAAATCTAAATCCGATAATAAAGAGCACAAACAAAAAAGACGTAAAACTCTAACTTGAAGCAGATGCCTGCTGATGTGACTTTTTCTCAATAAATCGCATGAAATGACAATGACCAACAATGATTGATCCCATTCACAAGTCACAGTCAATCCCACAAACACTGCTCTGATGGCCCCTAACAAATACACAATTTAACTGGGTTTGAGTAGCAATAGAAAAACTACAGAACATGGATGTATTAAGAAAATACTAAAACCAAACTGTATATTTGCGAGTTGCTTTTAAAGAGCTAAGTCTTCAGAGTCAGGGTTGGAAGGTTATTATTGAAAGACAAGACTTGGCTGGTTTTGGTCTTTTCTTAATGTTGACAATGAAAATAATCGAGTAGAGTAACGTCAGTTAATTCATCGGCGTTAACAAATCATCCCAAGTAAAGTTTCTCCATTTTCATTTAATCTATTGTATCCAGAAATGTGACATAAAAGCTGTTTTGAAGGGGCTGGAGCCATAATGGCTGGGTTATCATATAATGGGCACTATTTCACATTGGCTTATTAATTGTTA